GTTCCGGCAGCAAATGCTGAATCCACAATGATTTGTTCTTTTCTGTTTCCCAGTCTAGAATAATGTATAATATCTTCTTCTCCTGAATTACAGAAAGGATCTATAATGCAGTAGTTTCTGGGATGACTTCCAACCATTTTCATGAAACATTCTCTTAAAATACGTGTTTTATAAAGGATACATGATGCAAATGAAAGGCTAATATTTTGATGGAAATGGACTTTGAAAATGTCTTTGTAGATTAAAGTGAATTTTATAGAGATTAAACACCCAGTTCCAGCTTCTTTAAAAAAAGGAAAAAAAAAAGAAAAAAGGTTATATAATTGCAGAATCTGCTTTTTACTACTTAAACAGGAAAGCAGTCTTTTTTTTCCCCCTTCTGCAGGATAAGCAGCATTTGTATGAGCCAAGCACTTCATGATTGAGAGGGTGAATATTTTTTGTTTCTTCTCCCTTAGCATCCCTTACTGTTCCTGAATCAGGTTGTCAGAAAAGGATTATAATCCTCTCTTTCTCTAGGCTGAAGTGGTAGTACAGACTCCAAAAACATATTGTATCTAAAAACCAGAGCTGTTACACACATGAGATTACTATCCTAGTTAATTTTATTTTAGTTTAATTGCCTTTGGGGTGTGTGGTTTCTGAGATGGGGACTCGTCTTTGTTGCCGTACATAGCACTGTGGGACTCCCATCCAGAACAGGGCCTTTGGGAGCTTTTGCACTACGAGTCATATTAGTCTTCATTATTCTCTTACCCTGCTTATTGCCTCTTTAAACATTAATATCCCTTTGTATCTTTCCTGTACAGTATATGAAGAGCCAACAATATGGTTAATGATTTATGTGAATGATTTATTTTGGTTTTTTCCACACTGATGCATTTTTTTGCCACTTCCCCATATTATCTGCTGTTTGGAAATGCCTTCTCTGCATGAATGGTCGTTCTTTGCACTTGAGCGGTTTCTAAAGCTGTTAGCAGGAGCTGAAGGCACTTTGGTTGGATAATACGTTCTTGACTGCTTGGTGCCACTGTTTTGCAAGGTTAGCTTTGGTTGGTTTCAAGGATTACTCCCTTGAAACAGGTCAAAATGAAAAAAGTTTGGAAAGTGCTGCATCTCCAGATTAAAGGAAGATTCCTTGCGTACGAAATAATGTCTTGTTTGTTAATAGAATCAATTTTCAAAGTTAAACAAGACTCTGATCTTCCTACTTACTATGGAAATAATGTCTTTTACAAACAAAGTGCTTATGTTCTATTGAGCATTTCTCACTTAGGTTTTTCGGATATGAGGGACAGCTTGATGTGTGAAAGTACAGCTGGGCTTAGGTTACCAGAAGTGTTAATGAGGATTCATGTTTTCATCTATTTATCATGTCAACTTTTTAATTTAAGTGGGGAGCATAGTCCATTTATTGAAATATATTTGCACAAATTTTTTAAAGTGAACTACGATCTATGCATAATTTGCCTGCAAGGAAGGGGAAAACCTGATATTTCACTACAAAAAGTTTACTGAACTTCAGAGGATAGAAAATGGATCCTAGGTACAACTCATTCATTTTAAAATTAGCAGGAAGAGAAGAAACTATTTTAGTTTGGGTTACTTTTTATTTTTACTGTTTTACCATTATAATTGTGGCTATCTTGTTATATTTGTAAATATATAATTAAAAAAAATCTCATTCAGTGTGTGGTCTGGTTCCCACTTTCTTCTTTGAAGGAAATGCATTGGTTACTTGGGAGGCCAGGAGGGAAATGCCTTCCTTTCTCAGTTCTGGTGTGGTCACATTTCAGTTTCATTTCACATTTCCTTGTTTTCACATTGAGAGGAAAGAGGAAGAAACAGTCCTCTTTTGTTCTAGATGCCATGCCACACTTTGTGTGCACTTCTGTTATGTTTCCTCGTCAAGAAGAGCAGTCCTTGTTCTTTAGACTGTCTACATACGAAGTTTCACTTTAGTGAAAATGAAGTTTAGCTTTGGTGTCACTACCAGTATCGCTGATTCTCTTTCCGCTTTCCAGCACTGCATTATTCTTTCAAAATAGCATATCTCGATTTGAGAACTGTGCTCTGGTATAACATCCAGTTGACTTCTGTAGTGATGATTAATATCTTTCATGGCATTTTTTATTCCAGGTTTTATTCAGGCTAAGTTTGTTTTTTATTACCTCTGTGATTGCAGAAGAGCTAAATGTTTTATGGGAGCCTCTAAAGGAATTCTGAATTCTTAAGTTTGTGACTTAGATTCCAGTATAATTCCAGATGATTTATATTATGCACGCAGTGTTTATTGTTTTAATTTGTCAGTACTCCTTTGGTCTACCCATTTTATTGCCCATTCCCTCAGCTTGTCTTAGGTCTAATTTCTTCAGTT